TGCACCTTTGGGGTATCGACAGGAAATTTCCTAGGTTTTATAGTCAACAACAGAGGTATCGAAGCGAACCCTGAAAAGGTTAAGACCGTCCTCAATATGAAACCCCCTACCAACACCAGAGAAACACAACGTCTAACCGGGAGAATAACGGCACTCAACCGTTTCGTCTCGCGGTCAAGTGATAAATGCCGACCTTTCTTCAAGGTTCTAAAGGCAGTTTTCTAGTGGGATGAGAAATGCGACGAGGCCTTCTGAGCCCTTAAAGCTTACTTGGCCTCCCCACTCGTGCTGGTGAGTCCTAAAGAATGAGAAGTCATGACCCTCTACTTAGCCGTATCAGAATTCTCGATCAGTGTCACTCTAGTAAAGGACAAAGAGAGGATCCAACAGCCAGTCTATTTCTGCAACAAGGCCCTCTGAGGAGTCGAAGAGAGGTACCCGAAGATGGAGAAGCTCGTGCTAGCTCTCCTAATGGTGGCCCGAAGACTAAGGCCGTACTTCTAGGCACACACTATCGAGGTCCTGACGGACCAGTCAATGAGGTAGGTCCTGCATAAATCGGAGGTCTCGAGAAGACTCATCAAATGAACGATGGAGCTTAGCAAATTTGACATCAAGTTCAAGCCCAAAACCGCGATTAAAGGGCAAGTCCTGGCTGACTTTTTGGCCAAGTTTACCGCACCGCCTGAAGAGAACATTGAAGACCGTGACGACTTCCCCGATGTACTGACTTGGAAGCTGTATGTAGATGGGGGGCCTCAAATGCCCAAGTATGTGGAGCATGTCTCATCCTTACTCCCCAGAAGGTTACGACCAAGAGTACGCCCTAAGATTTAATTTTCAGGCGTCCAACAACGAGGCAGAATATGAAGCACTCATAGTTGGCTTAAACCTGACTCTATCAATGGAAGCACAGTAGATCATGATCTATAGTGACTCGCAACTTGTGGTAAGACAAGTCGAGGGAAAGTACGCTGTCGGAGACGAGAAAATGACGCTCTACATGACCGAAGTGCGGAGGCTCCTAAGAAAGTTTGTATTAGCCGAGCTGGTCCAAGTTGCCCGAGAGGCCAATTGTCGGGCTGACGCCCTGGCCAAACTAACCACTACCGACAAGCATGGCCTACCCGGGCAGAAGCCCGTTGAGACACTGACCCAGCCCAGCGTATGGCTCGACGTCGAGCTAAATGGAGAAATTCAGGCCCTCCCAATTGAAGGGGACGCTTCTTGGATAGACCCTATTAGGTCATTCCTGCTAGACGGAGCACTACCCGATGACCCAAAGGAAGCAGCGAGGCTGAGATATAGAGCAGCAAGGTTCACGCTGGTCAGAGGTAACTTGTACAAAAGAGATTTTTCGTTTTCACTAATGAAATGCTTGTCTGAACCTGAAGCAGATTACATCCTGAGAGAAATACAGGAAGGGATGTGCGGAAAACCATATTGGAGTAAGGACATTGACAAATAAGGCACTACGACAAGGTTACTTTTGGCCAACCATGTCTAATGATGCCAAGGAGATAGTAAAGAAATGCCAAACTTGTCAGATTCATGACAATTTATTGCACTGCCCACTAGAGCAACTCACCCCCGTGGTTAGCCCCTGGCCTTTCCAGCAATGGGGTTAGATATCCTGGGCCCCCTGCCAACTGGGGCCTGGTAGTGTAAGTTCATCGTGGTCGCAGTAGACTACTTTACAAAATGGGCTGAAGTAGAGACTCTAGCCAAGATTACGGCACAAAAAATTAAAAACTTTGTTTGAAAATCCATTGTATGCCATTTTGGTATCCCTAGAGCAGTCGTCTCGGATAATGAGAAGTAATTCGATAATCCCACGTTCACAGACTTTTGCGAGGGACTAGGGATTAAGAATTATTTCTCAGCTCCCGCGCACCAGTAGTCCAATGGGCAAGCCGAAGTAACCATCAGAACGATCAAGCTGGCATTGAAAATCAGGTTGGAAGCTTCCAAGTCACAATGGGTGGATCACCTCCCAGCGGTACTATGGGCGTATCGAACAACAGTGAGGACAACGACTGGTGAGACACTTTTCAGCCTAGCGTATGGGACAGAAGCAATGACACCAGTCGAAGTCGGTATGCCTTCGGCGAGGGCTAAACTCTTTGACCCCGAGCAGAACGAGAGATCCTTACTAATAAACCTCGACCTCCTTGACGAAAGAAGGGATGAAGCACTATAACAGATCTTCTCCTACCAGAGGAATATGGCCAGATTTTACAATAAACGGGTAAGAAGAAGAAGCTTCAAACCAGACGACTTGGTACTGAAAAAGCTTCTCTTGACTAGGAAAGACCCCTCTCACGACAAGCTCGGCCCCAACTAGGAATGACCCTACATCATAAGGAGGATAACTCGACTTGAAAACTACAAGCTACAGACAGAAAAGGGGCATGACCTGCAGCACTCGTGGAACACGGATCATCTGAAAGGCTACTATCAATAATTTCAAGAGAACATTTTGTAATCGAGAAGAAGAATTTTTATAAAAGCTTTCCTTTGGAAATCAACGAAAGTTTTGAAATCTTCGTAAGGGGAGAAAGTCCACGATAAGATGTGGCCAACACACGCCCTAATCAGGTTTTTTAGCCTAAATGTTTAAAAGCATGTAAGCTTGAAAAAGACAGGCTTTTCAACCTAAGAGAGCTCGTAAGCTCGAAGCGACTAAGTTTTTTAGCCTAAGTATTTAAGAGCATGTAAGCTCGAAAAATGAAGGCTTTTTAGCCTAAGAGAGTTCGTAAGATCAGAGTGACTAGGCCTTTCAGCCTAAGTGTTTAAGAGCATGTAAGCTCCGAAACGGCAGACTTTTCAGTCTAAGAAAGCTCGTAAGTTCGGAGCGACTATGCTTTTTAGCTTAAGTGTTTAAGAGCATGTAAGCTCGAAAAAGGTAGGCTTTTCAGCCTAAGAGAGCTCGTAAGTTCAGAGCGACTAAGCTTTTTAGCCTAAGTGTTTAAGAGCATGTAAGCTCAGAAAAGGCAAGCTTTTCAGCCTAAGAGAGCTCGTAAGCTCGAAATGACTAGACTTTTCAGCCTAAGTGTTTAAGAGCATGTAAGCTCTAAAAAAACAGACTTTTTAGCCTAAGAGAGCTCGTAAGCTCGGAGCGACTAGGCTTTTCAGCCTAAGTGTGCAAGAACTCATAAGACTCGAAAAAGGCATACTTTTCAGCCTAAGAGCTCGTAAGTTTAAGAGCTCACAAGCTCAGATTCTACAAGGCATTTCAACCCGAGGCTTCTTAGCCTAAAAGGCATGTTTTTCAGCCTAGCGTTTTAGTGCTCGAAAAGCTAGACTTTCCATCATAAGAAAGCTCACAAACTCAGATCAACCAAATTGACCAATATAAGGGCCTGAAAGCACAAAGGCCTATAAGTCCAAGTCCTAAATAGGGAACGGGCACAAAGCACAAAGACACAAGATCAGTAGCAAAAGACCAGATTTCATTAATGGTGGAAAGTTCATGATCTAAACAAGCCAGCACTCCAGCAAAAAAAAAAAAAAAAGAAAAAACTGGCAGGATCATGGAAGCAGCAACAACCGGAACATAGAAGTAACACCATCAAAGACCTCCTCCCCTCTTCGGGTCCTTCCTGGCAACCCCCTTCAACTTGCGATCTCCCATCTCCAACAAGGCATTCACCTCCTCCAGACGAGCAAGGTCCTCCTTCAAAACATCCCTCTCGTTCTCCACCTCCACCAACCTCTTCTTCAGCACCTCCATCTCAGCCTCTGTTTCACATGACAGGGAAGGCACAAGTTGAATCCTAGTCGAGCTTTCCCCTATCCCATAACGGGCGAGAATCTCGGGAGTAACAAGGGCAGAATAGGGAAGAGGAGAAGCTTTTTTGACCTTACGAGCATTGGAGGCCTCTTGCGAAGTAAGACAAGAAATACCTGCACGACACAGTGCCGACAAAAACAAGGTCAGTACAACATTTAACTGCAAAAGTTGGCTTTAAATCTATCAAGAACGATTACCTCTCTCCCTGAAACTTCCCCAAGAGCGAGGGATCCAAAGGCGACACTCTTCACCCACCGCAGGCTCCCACAAGTCCCCCGACGCAAAGAAAAAGCGCTGGGTCTTACCCTCAAAGGAAGGGGGAATGTCAGCAACAACAGGCGGATGGAAGTACCATTTGAAAGCAAGAGAATAGCAAAAAAGAGGAAATTCAAAGGAGAGATGAAGAAAGTAGAAAAATTCAGAAACAGTAGGGAAAGCCTTGAAACCCTACATTCGCTAGAAGATAAAAAAATCAACCAAAGCAGCCCACCCCGAAGGGGAAAGCCGACTGGGACTTAGACCATGGTGAGAAAACATCTGAACAATATCTCGATGAAGGGGGAGTCGGAGGTCACGCGAAGGCCCCCTAAAAAAAAACAACCTCTCCCAAAGCAGACATGCTACAAGGCTCATCGGGGGATGGAGCCCTAACACCCAAACCTGTGGACAAGTCATACAGACTTTTTAGGTTAGCAGCATCTGCCGCAGTGAGTGTGGATGGAAGTAAGAAGATAGAATACCATTCACCCTTGAGGGACTCTCGGGCATAGTGTTCGAAGAGAGGAGAAGGAGCCATCAAGACAACAGGAAGTCAAGAATTTGAGAGTAAAAAGATCTTAGAGAATGATGGGATGCAGAGGCTCGAACAAAAATCTAAGAATATATAGCCTCCAAGATGACTGTTGGAATCCCGTAGCAGTAAATGCGGACGCGAGGTCCCAAGAAGTTGTTGAGCCATTTAAAAGTTCACTTAAATGAACAACCTCTTCGCATACAAAGAAGGGAAAATGAACAGTCGCCAGCTATATTACCCAAAAAAAAAAACAAAAAAGAGAGCACGCGGACACACATGGCTAGGCAAGCGAACGGCCCAGAAAACAATACTACTCCAAATAGGCCAGGACCTCCTTGGAGTATAGGTGCGTAAGGAGTATAGCATCAACATCAGTACAAGTACACCAGAAACAAACACTTTAGAAAGACGGATTTCACTACAAAAAAAAAAAGTTTACGGATAACAAAAACAACAGATAGTAGAAAAATACACAGAGAAATAACAAGACTGGTCCTATAGATTAGTCAGAAGGAGAAATAGGAGCATTAGAAGCACCACCGCTAGGGGGAGCATCAAAACGAGGTTGGAACTTCTCTAAACCCAGGCCGAAAAATTTCTTAATCGCCTGGTCAGCAAAGTTAAAAAAAATCGTCCACAAAGGCCCTGGCCGCCTCCACCCTGACTCCCTCGATCTCTTTTTGTTGATTTTTAACCAGCTGGCGCTCAGCAGCTAGGGACTTGCTCAAGTCAACAATAACAACTTGGGACTCCTTTAACTGTTCCTCCAGTAGAGTCCGTGAAATAGAAGAATCCAGCAGGTCCTCCATCTGAGCATCATAGCCCTTACGGGCACGAGTCAGCTCGTCTTGAAAGGACACCTCGGCAGAGGTACTAACAATTAGCTGCCGAAAGGTCTGAGCCCACTGAGTAATGACCTGCTCCAACTCCTTCTCGGTGGACAATCCCCAACTCAGAAGCTCGGCATTATGTTGGCGAGCCTCTTGGAGCTCGGCTGCCCTTCCTTGAACGTTGCTTCTTATAACAAAAATCTCCCTTCTGAGTGCGCAAACATGCGTTGCCGCCTGCAAACAAAGAAGAAAGTCACAATGCTACAAACTCAAAGACAAGGAGAAATACAAGAAAAGGAAATACTTGCCTCGAGAAGGGCATGAAGTGCTTCCCGACTCCGAGTTTGAAATGGGAGATCCACAGAGCGTCTCAGGTCGACCTGAGGGATCAGTTCCATCAGCGCTTGACTGCTCAAGCTCACTTTTCTTAGCAGGCTCCCCTCGAGGTCGACCTGTGAGGAAGGTGAAGCTCGTCCTGAGCTAGAACCCACCGCTCCAAAGAAATGTGGGGGTTTGTCAAAAAATTCATCTCCAGAGGAAAATAAAGAGAAGTGAAGATAAGAGAACATTCATAGAATCATACCTCAAAATCAATAAAATATAATACTCAAGCAAAAATCTATACCTGTCCTGTCCCATGCTCGCTTGAAAATAAATCTATAATTGCATAGATTGCTGTTTTATGAGCTTCCCAAATTTCAATAGGTTGACCTTTCCTCCACCGTTTAAAGATACTACACTCAATAGGCAAAATTATGCATCGAGTTATAGCACAAAATTTAAGAAATAAAATACTGTAGCCAAGTAATAAGCAACAGAGTAATTAAAGTAAGTTGGTCTTTCCTATTACAACAACTCTTACACAAACACACATATACACAACAGTATTACACAAAAACATGCAAACTAGTACATTAAAACATAAACAAACATACCAATGCACCAAAATATACATTGTTAAACACACTAATACACCAAAAAAACATGCACACTAACACACCAAAAGCACGCACACAAACAAATACATGGATGCACACACCATCACTAAAACCAACACACATACACACACTAATACACACCCACACGCTATGTTAACAAACACTAATACACTTAAAAAATTATGACACCAACATACCAAAACGCACAATCACACTATTACACAACACACACACCATCATCACGCATGCCCACTAATCCACCATCCAAAATAGACACACATACACACACTAATACACCAAAAAATACAGACATTAATACAATTAAACACACATTCACAAAAATGTATATATTCTATCACATGTACTGTTAACACAAGCTAATCCGTCACAAACACAAACACTAATATACAATAACACACGCTATTACATGAACACAAATGCACACACACACACACTAATACATTAGAAAACACTAATACATTAAAAAACACACATACATCCCAGCTAATTAGTATATACATTCATATACACAGTGTTAATACACACTAGTATACCAAAAAACAAATACTCCTGCACCAAACTACTAAACACACTAATATAGAAACAAAAACTAACAGATACACACTAATATATCAAAAAGAAACACCCCCAAACATACGTTATATTCACACACACTAATACACCAAAGAAACATACCCATACACTAATACACCATAGAAATACAAATATACTTATGTTTTGCCCAACGGTGCCAAGGCTTTTGGGGGGGGGGGGGGGACAAGGCTAGCCAAACCATTGGTGCCCCTCAACTATCACCACCCCCTATATATGCTTTATGGAGGTTTTCCAAAGTGACTTTGAATGGACATCTTCTGAACCGATGAAACAAAACAACGAGAGTCTGGGGCATAGCGCCTAGACTTTTGTTGAACACCTTAGGTACATCGCCTTACTTTGAATTCATGGGGTGTCATGGTGCAAGATGCCACTAACACACGTCAATTTTTGTGCCCCAGTCAATTGAAGTCTAAAAACTAGTGTTTCCTTTTTTTATAACTAGTAAATTTAAAGATCATCTAGAATACGATAATTAAATCAAATTTTTTACTACCAGTGAAAATTTTCAAACAACCACCACAATTATTAATAAGAATACATTATTAATATTTAAAAATGAAAACTAGAACATCTACTCAAAGATATTCAAAAGAAATAGTCAAGCAAACATGCAAGAAGCTTACCAGTGTGCTCTTCAAAAGTGTGTGTAGAGTTGTGTCACTTGAACCTGGTTACCATAAACAAAAACTGTCACAGTTCATTCGTATCCAAAGCAACATGGTTTAGGACCATCAAGTTTAAACCAATGTTACCTGGTATGAGTATATAGTCCGACACTTTCTTAGGTACGCGATATGATGGAGGTAGGTTTAACTCGTATGGTATTTTGGGTCGCAATTCATTTTTGACCTCTTATATAAATCGTTTTCACTACTATATAACATTATATATTACAGAACGTTTAAAAACACTAAGTTAGTTACCATTTATCTTATAGTTGTGCTTGATTTTTTATTATCTAAAACAATATATAATTATAAATCTATATATATGTAATCAATTAATATATATTTTATATTTGTACTACATGTTCTAAAGAGAGTTGATTTAGAGTTAGTAATATAATTTGGGGTCGTCCATTATGGTGATATGGATCGCAAACCCACCTTGTTTCGGATTAATGTACCCCGATCATAGGTCTTTAAGGGTTTAATAAATTGTGATAACCATGGTTTAAACATTAGTATCTTTATAGGTTGATAATTGCAAGAAATCTTAAGCAAATGATGTAGATCGAGAATGATAATTAAGAACTTCACGAGAAGAGAAAAAAAAAACGCTAACAAAATCAATACCATACTATACCTAAAAAAATCTACACCTTCCACAAGCAACCACTTGGATTGCTCTTTTATGAGCCTCCCAAATTTCAAGACAAAAAATAGAAGGAGAAAAACTTACACAAACATACCTCAAATCAAGTAAAATAATGTTCACTTGCAAAAGTTTACCTGAAAGTAACTTCATAGCTGGTAGATTACTGCCTTATAAACCTCCCAAAGTTCTACATGTTGGTCTCTCATCCATCGTCTTAATATACTGTAATCAATAGGAAATATCTAACCTCGTGACACAACAGTTAAATGGTATGAAAATTTTACATAACAAAAAATTATAAGTTATTGGTAACAGAGGAGTCATATACTATAGATGATGACCTACTAGTTATAGGAATAGCCAAACCATATTTCTATCAAACCCCTCCCCCACACATAGACAAACAAACAATTAATAAGAAAAAATATAAATCATAATCATTTTAAATATAAACTATCATATGCACTAAAATATATGCTAAAGAAATGGTCACGTAGACATGAAAAAAAATAAACCTGTATGCCCTACAAAGGTATGCACACATGTTCTCTCTTTCCAAAACTCTAAAGTTGTCATAAGAACTTGAATTACGATTAACAACAATACACATCAGTTATTCCTATCCAAAGCATATTTTGATAACTGTTAAAAATCTTAAGCAAAGGATATAAGTTGATTGTTGACATCATAAGAAAGATACTTAAGAACTTCAAGGTTCAAGACAAAAAATAAAAGGAAAAAGCTAACACAATCATAACCTTAAATCAAACAAAATAATGTTCACTTGTAAAAAACTCGCCTAAAGGTAACTTCATCACTACTTAGATTGCTGCCTTGTAAGCCGGCCAAAGTTCAACAAGTTGGTGTCTGCTCCACTGTCTAAATGTACTACATGAAAATTTGAAGGAACAAAAACTGTAAGGAACTAATTGGCAACAAAAGGTCACATACCTCCCCTCTCCCAACAAACAATTATTAAGGAAAAATATAACTCGCAAGTTTTTTAAATAAAAACAATCAAACGCAATAAAATATATGTAAAGGAAGGTATGCCCTATGAAGGTATGAAGGTATGCACACATATCCCCCCTTACCAAAGCTCTAAAATTGTCACTGTAACTTACATTATCATTTGACAACAATCAAGATTAATCATTTATATCTAAAGTATAGTTTGATAACTTTAAGAAACCTTAAGCAAAGTACTTAAGTTGATTGTTGAGAGATCATAGGGAAGATACTTAATTAGTTTAAGTTTCAAGACAAAAAAGAGAAGCACAAAAAAAGTTTACAGAATCATACCTCAAATCAAACAAAATAACGATCACCTGTAAAAAGCTCGCCTAAGAGTAATTTTATAACTACTTAGATTGCTGCCTTATAAGCCTCTCCCAAAGTTCAACAAGGTAGGCTCTACTTTATTGTCTAAATGTACTGCAATCAATAGGGAATATCTAAAATCGTTACACAATAGTTGAATGGCATGAAAATCTTAAGAAACAAAAAAATTCTAAAAAAAGAATTGACAACATAGGATCATATACCTTAAATGATGACCAATAGACCATTTATAGGAAAGACCAAACCATATTTCTATCGCCCTCCACAAACAATTACTAAGGAAAAATATAAATCATAACATTTTAAATGAAAACTAAAGTATGGAGTAAAATATATACAAAAGAAAGTCACGTAGACATGTATGGAAACGAACTTGTATGCCCTACGAATGTATGCACACGTCCTCCCTTTCAGAAGCTCAAAAGTTGAGTCACTAGAACTTGCATTATCATTGACAACAATTCACATCAGTCATTCCTATCCAAAATATAGTTTGATAACTGTAAGCAATCTTAAGTAAAGTACTAAAGTTGATTATTGAGAGATTATTGGGAAGATACTTAAAAACTTCACGGTTCAAGACGAAAAAGAGAGAAAAAGTTAAGGAAAAACTTGTCCAATCATACCTCAAATCAAGTAAAATAATTTTCAGTTACAAAAACCTCGTCTGAAGGTAACTTTATAACTGGTAGATTACTATACCTTGTAAGCCTCCCAAAGTTAGACATGTTGGTCTCTCCTCCGCTGTCTTAATGTACTGTAATCAATAGTTAAATGAACAAAAACTTGTAAGGAAGTAATTGACAACTGAGGAATCATACATCTTAAATGATGAACTACTAGTTATAGGAATGGTCAAACCATATTTCTATCAACCCCCTCCCCCTCACACACAAACAAACAATTACTAAGACAAAATATAAATCATAATCATTTTAAAAAAAATTATCATATGCACTAAAATATATGCTAAAGAAATTGTAACGTAAAAATGAAAGAAAACAAACCTGTATGTCCTACGAAGGTATGCACACATATTCTCCCTTTCCAAAACCCTAAAGTTGTGTCATAAGAATTTGCATTATGATTGACAACAATTCATATTAGTCATTCCTATTCAAAGCATAATTTGATAACTGTGAGACATCTTAAGCAAATTACATAAGCTGATTGTTGAGATCATAGAGAAGATACTTAAGACCTTCAAGGTTCAAGACAAAGAAAAAGAAGAAAAAAGATAACTCAATCATACCTCAAATCAAACAAAAGAATGTTCACCTATAAAAAAAAGTTTGCCTAGAGGTAACTTCATCACTGTTTCGATTGCTACCTTATAAGCCTCCCAAAGTTCAACAAGTTGGTGTCATCTCCACTGTCTTAATATACTGCAATCAATAGGGTATATCTAACCTCGTGAAAATTTTAAGGAACAAGAAACTGAAAGGAAGTAATTGCCAACAAAAAAGTCACATACCTTAAATGATGACAAAGTTGACCAATTAAAGGAAAAGATCAAACCATATTTCTATCTCCTCC